AATCCACTTCTCTTTTCGCACATCAAAACGTTTCAAGCTCGCTTCACTTGTCAACAACTACGTGTCGACTTCTCGATCTTTAATTCACTTGACTTCTCACTTCCTCTTACTTAGCTCTCTTCAACTCGCGAAAACCGAATTTATATAATATTCCTTATTTACATAAATCACGCCTGGCTCTCGATGAAGGTTGGTTGAAATAATTTGAATTAAAGGCAAAAAGTAGAAGTTAATGAAAAACCGTATAGATCCCTCATAAATTTCATTGTGTACTGTTTTTTGTCTTCTATGATGAATTAAGTTTTGTTTTGGTTTATTTCAATAAATAATAATATTAGACCAATTTTCTAAATTTTGTTTTCAGTTTTATTACGTAATTTCGACTATGATAATGTGTAAGTATTTTTTTAATATAGTCCAATCCTTATTCCGGGATTGAAAACTCTACTATAGACCTTGCGTGGTCTTAGAGTGCGATGGTAATAAAAGTCCAATCTAATCGAAGAGATAATGACATTTTTCATTCCCGTTTCTTTGTAAAAGTTTTAATTAAAAAGGCTTTATATATTAACTTAGTTCTCCCACGATTGTGAAGTTTAATATGAATTTTATTTTACCAAGTATAATAAAAGGTGATCGTACGAATAAAACAGTAGCATGTTTGTTTCCAAAAAGAGTTCTTGGCAAATAATGAATTTAAATAGTGAAAACGCAAAATTCTGTCGATCAAAAAAGATTCTCGAAGTGGTGATTATTTATCGATAGTTAAAATAAACTGTACTCCGGCCCAAATTTCAAAATACCTCGAGTGATCGTTATTAAACGCCTTTTCCTTTTTCTACTGGACGACAGGCATTGATTATCTGTACAAACGCCGAAAGGGGAAATTCTTTTGGTCAGATGCCAATAGACTTTTCTTCTCCAACCATTCACTTCTAGAAAGGCTGCCCGAATTTCGTTTAGCTTTTGATTTGAAATGCATCGATTCATTCAATAAAGATGCTTTAAGGTATGATAACTGCTTTCTTTTTAAAGAAACGTTTTGACACATCCGTAACTTTAGAGAGAGAGTTTGATTTTTTAATTAAAAAAATAATTTAAATAGCAAAGAACATTCAATCTTCATTTCCATCAATCATTTTCACCATATTGATAAATTAAGTACTTTCAGCTTTCTCCTATTAATAAAAATAGATGAATTAATTTGGGTGTTTTCACTATTCACTGAAAGCTTTTAAAATAATGTCAATCATAACAAATTTACACTTAAAGGTCAAAGAAGAATGATTACAATGGTTAAATGGATAGGAATTAATATAATTATGTTACGTTTCAAAAATTTATATAAAATGCATATATATATATATATATATATATGCATACATATATTAATAAACATGCGTTGATTAATTAGCTCACTGATTGCTTCCACGTGTACATTTTAGATCTAAATGTTTTTCAATTAAGGCTTATATTAAATTTTTCTTGACCTATTATGCATAAATTTTCTGCTGAAAGGAAAGTACAGGATACTATAAAGCCAGCTTAATCCAACTTCATTACTCTTAAGTCAGTGACAGCTTTGGAAAATGTTGTGGTTGCATTGTGGTCAATTGAATTTTCTTCATGTGTTATTTTTTTGCTCGTGATTCTCGATTTCAGCATTTAAGCTTTCTCTGATTTTTAAAATATCTAATTTATTAATATTTTTTTATAAATGTATAACAAATTATTTTAATGATATATTAATTTACTTAGAGATGGCCTAACACAAAGTAAAACTTCAAGTAACAAAACAGTTAAATAGTAAAGGACAAAGTAATGCAGTTACTATGTAATACGCAAGCGAATTATTTGTCTCAAAAGTTGTGATCCCCGGCAATGAGAGGGCCGACCAAAAAGCCAAGCAGGGAGCCGAGTCGTCTGAACTGGAAGTCCCCTTGACTCTCAGAAGAGCAAAGAGCATTATTTCTACATCCAATCGACAAATATACTACCGTGTCCCAAAAAACCAAGAGCCTTGAAAAGCCTTGGGAAATTGGTCACTGTGGGTCCAATCTCGATGCACCTGGAGAGAGCCGAGACTGTTGCCTACTTTCGCCTAACCACCGGACATGACCTTTTGGGAGCACACCTCCACTGGCTTGGCCTGGCTTCTAACGAGGCCTGCCCACTCTGTGGCCCTACCAGAATGGATGGCGACCCCCTACTCCAATACACTGGACTCGATGAATACCCATCGTCAGTTGGTACTGGGAGGCTCGGCGTCAAATGGTCAAGAAGCCAAGCAGCGTTGGATAAATAAATAAATAAAATAATATTTGACTTATATATATATATAATACTAAGACAGTATGGTTATATATATATATATAAAACAATTAGCTTCTTTTATATGAAATTTTCCACCCTATAGCATGAATATATATATATATTTCAAAAAAAGTTAGGTTTCTTATATAAAGTTTCCCACTAAATGAGATATTTCATTTCCATTTTCTTTGCAAGTTGAAAGATTATGTCCCATATAAAATCATACCGGTTTCCAATTAAATGAGTCTGCTGAACGCTTTAGAAAGAGATATTGCTATTTGAAAGAGATATTCTATTTCGTATAAAAGTAATCATTTTTCTTCACTTTACATTTAGATATGATTATCTCTGCACAGAATAATAATAATAATAATAATAATATATATGTAATTCGTTAATCGGGGTAATTCATAATATTGGGGCTCAAAAAAATACAAATTTTTGTTCTTAGGTTTAGAAAATTCTGTTCAAGCAACTACACAAAAAATATCCACAGTTATAATGTACACACTTTCTATTCAGCAGGTAAAATTCGTAAATAATTACTCACAAGTTAATTAGAAATTTCAAAATACTGACTAATAGATGCCTTGCAATGTATTTTCTTAAAACGGTTGATCCTCCCATCGGATGCAGGAAAGTCTTTCATTTTAAGCTGAAGAGCCTTTTCTTTAATAAAGGGTCCACTAATGGTTATTTTTTAGAATGAACGATTTTAAACCATTCTAATTAGTTAAAAATTCAAGAACAGAAAGAAGGGTAGCTTTCAGTGACTTTCTTATTTTCGATTTTTCACCACATTATACAGATGCCTTTTCAATATCTGCATGCTTGATATATCCCCTGGGTTGTGAAGTGCGTTGAGAGAAGAGAGGAATTTCTTGTCCTGTTCAAAACTCACTCGATAGATTATACTCTTGACTCATCTGCACCTGTGAAGTCTGATAATGAGCTACACTCTTTCTCATTGAAATTTGCTGCTTGCAAGAAAAGTCTTTTCTGGACAAAAAAGATATATATCATTTGAATAGAAATCTAATTTTTTCTAAGCGAAACTAAACTAAACTCAGTGGCGCAACAGCCCATGAGGGCCAAGGCCCACTGTGCCCATCTCAGTTTCCCTGATCATGGTCACTAAAGAGCATGAGCAGATATTCCGTTCAGGTGGTCAGTCTGACGCGGAAACGTCAGTGTTTAGTTTCCAAGCAAGCTTGGTACTCATTTATCAACCCACTGAAGATATTAAAGGTTGAGTCGACCTTACCCAGTCCGGGGTTTGAAACCCGGAATTGTGGAGGGGAAGCTCGATACGCTACTACTCAGCAACTGAGCCAAACTAATAAAAAAATTTTTTTGGCTATTGAAATAATTTGTCATTTCGGAGTTTATTATTTGTTATAAGTAGTTCCTTGCCTTCATTTTAGTTGGGAGAAAAGAAAAATCATTAAACCGCGAAATTTGTCAAATAGGGGTTTTCTGAATCGGGGTTTGACTGTATATATATATATATAGTGAAGTCGAGTGGATGGCTTTATTTATTTAATAATTGAACTAGGTTTGTAATAACCCTCTTTCCCGTCTACCCTGTGACCCAGCTTAAACTGTGGAAGGAAGTGAAGGAATATTCGACATGATAATTTCCAATTATTTTATTTAGCACTTTAATCGACTCAAACACAATTCGATGCAACACAATAAATAGGATGTTCAAATCAGTCAACAGAGGGAGGGGGCGAGATTCGCGTTTTGGCAGAATACATCTAATAAACCACTTTATAATAATAGTACTTCTACCTCAATATTACTTTACACGGTAGATATATAACTATTGGCCACTTAACCTCTTTAATACTTTAAATATCAAACGTAAAATGAAGGTGACAATACTTGAACTGCAGGCAGTCTTCTAATCAATTAAGGTTTAATTTATCAATATCAACTTCCTGTCTTTAATCTTTCACAAGGCCTTTCTAATCTTTTGCGGTATTCTTCCCCTTGTATCTCTCTTGTCCTCTTTAGTTAATTAACCTTATAATCTTCTAACTTTCTACTATATATCCTTCTTAACTTTCTAACCCTCTCGTAAGAGAACCTGAACTACATATAAAAAACTTAATTTGCATATCATGCCATCTTCTTAGGAGAGGAATGATGATTTTTGATAGTCCCAAAGAATTCCCAAGAGGATTAGTATAAGGACGCGTATAGATCCGTCACAGGTTGTTGATGTAAAGATGTGGTTGTATTGATGAGACATTCTTCTTGTGGAAGGTGATCTATTTTTATTTCATATAGACACTCACTTAGGACACACACAAACAAATTAAAACACAAGACGATGGACACACGAGCAGGGTCACATAATAAAAACAAGTAGCGACAGGCCAATTTTCCTTGAAACAGGGGTCTGTACGAAATGAAAACTAGAAGTACAAAAATTCACATGATTTTCCGAGGACATCTCTTCTGATTGGTCCAGATAATCGGATGATGTACATTATATAATTCTTAAATAAAAAACGTCTAACTTTCAATTTCGAAGGCATGAAGTTACCATTATCTCCCCTCCACACACACACGCGTGCACGCACACTTAATTGGAAACCGGTATAAAATCTTACGGGATATAATCTTTCAACTCGGAAAGGAAACGGAAATGAAATTTCGCATTTACTTATCTTTTGCCAACGGCCATACCATGCTGAAAACACCGAAGTCATCGATGCTGATCACAGAAGTTAAGCATCATCGGGCGCGGTCTGTACTTGGGAGGGTGACCACCTGGGAACACCACGTGTCGATGACATTTTTTTAAGCCGTAAGGTAGCCTAGTGGCTAGAGCATCGTACTCCAGAACGGAAGGCCTGGGTTCGATGCCCGATGCCACCAAATATCCTCCGAGTACACAGGGAGTATGTGCTCGTTAAATCAGTGGGTCCGAAAGTCTTGTGGGTGGTCGCAGCAGAAACCACAGGTGCAGGGGGCGAGAGAATAATTTCCTCCAGTTCCATGCCTAAATAGTGGAGGTGGAGATAGGTGGTGTCGCCATCTATCGAGTACGAACCGAGCCAAATCGCACTCTCACCTGTATGGTGTGTTCAAAGTTAAAGAAGCTAACGACAGGCGTACACGTAGCCCCTTGCCACGAGGAATTTCGTGGGCCTCGATTTGACACCGTCAGACAGGTGGTATTATAAACAACAACAACACTCATCTTTTAGATATTTTCCGTAAACGTATTAACAGTATATATAAATTTCAATTCTTCTCTGGTATGAAAACACTCCAATTAAACCAAAAACGACAAACAATATATTTTTTTTAAATTACAATTTGTGACTACGGAATATAAACCAAAAAGAAAAAAAATATGGATAATAGTTCAGTCCTATCTTTTTTTTTTTTGGTATAAGTTTTCTGGTCTCTTTTATAAACGTTGAAAAAAATCCCTATAAAACACGTGGATTGTGTTAAAATGCACAAATCGAATTTATTGGTTTTCCTTGAATAATTTTAACTTTGTACAAAACTTTTCAACGAAGTTACTTTGTTTCGTAATTTTACATTACTATTGTAATTATTTGTAAATTGTTATGTTCATTAAATACATTCAATCTGATTGACATGAAGGTTCCTCACAAGCATAAAATGTATAAGAAGTCCTTTCGATTTCATTAGAAAACATGACTAAAATGAATAATCTTTTTACATAAATGCACTGAACTAGCTGCCTTTCCTTATGCATTTATCTTCGGAAAGCTCTTTATTACGTTAATCCTATTCCTAGATAAGATATAGACACTTAACTTCATTTAGTCCGAAATATGGTGATTTACGTTAGGGGAAATTCGGTATTTGGGGAAATTTCATAATTCTTTATAGTAACTGAGTTTGTGAAAAGGTATAGCTATAGCACCATTTTTTTATAATTAATTTTCACAAATGCTTTGATAGTAAGCTTTAATAAAATGATCAGAGATATTATGAAAGATAATTCTAAAAAAATCTTATATATTTATTAAGTTACACACAAATAACAGCATCCCATTTGAAAGAAATATGAACTGCTGATCAATATATAAAGGGAATATAAAATAGCAATAGAAAGTCAATATTTCAAATAGAAAAATTCTTCACTCTTTATCCAAAACTATTTTATAAGATTATTATTGAAACTATTATATACTATTACTAGCTGTTACCCGCCCGCTTCGCTGGGTATTTCATGATGTTTTATAAATGTTTACTGCTTATATATATGTATAAATTATTGATATCTAAGTCCTAGCATTAAGAATTCGATTGAATTGAAAAATATACTTATACCTGTAACTGTCACCTGTTGATAAAAAAAAAGGGCAGAACTCATCTAATTTGTATTTTCTAAAAATCTCTAAAATTGAAGCATAGAATGATGTTTGCTCTTTCGTAACTCAAAAACCAAGTGGATTCCCGCAAAACCAATTTTCGGTGGATCTCTACTCCGTAAATTGAACATGCAAGCCAAATTTCAAGTCTAAATCTAACAGAAAAAAGCAAAAGTTTTACTATAAATATCCCCGTAATCCCGTTGAGAGCCGTTTTCCAAAATTACCGCTCTTAGCGGATTTCAATTCAACAAAAGAAAAATGCAAACCAAATTTCATTATAATAGTCCTTGTAGCTCGAAAAAAGTAATTGTTTTTGTCAATACGTCCCAGTAACCCCCTGCAACCCCCCAGAACTTGATTTGCTTAAAATTTATTCTTAGTGGATCCCTATTCAACAAAAGAAACATGCTTAACAAATTTCAAGTATATGGGTCTAACAATTAAGAACAGGAATTTTTTTCTGTAACTCCTCTTGACCCCTCGCAAACATCTTTGGGGGTCAATTTTCATTTTACTCTTTGTTAGAGGAACTCTATTTCATGAAAGGAACATGCCTACCAATTTTCAAGCAGGATGATCAAGTAGTTTAAAAATGGAAATATTTATCGATTACGCCTCTTAATCTCCCGAAATTAAACTTGGTAGTTGATATTCGCGAAACCCATTTTGTAACGGTTCTCTACTTTACGAAAAGAATCTGCTTATCAAATTTCAAGACTGTACGTCTAACAGTTTAAAAATGGGGATAATTGTCTATAACGCCACTTGAGCCCCCGCAACGCCACTTTTGGGTATGTTTTCACAAAACCCATTTTGTAGGGGAATTGCACCCTATGAAAGGAATCTGCTTAGCAAAATTTGAAGACTGTGCGTCCAATTAATTAAAAATGCAAAAAAATTATCAATAACGCCCCTTGAACCCCCGCAACACCACCTAGGGGTCGATTTTCACAAAACACATTTTGCAGTGTATTTCTATCCTATGAGAGGAATCTGCTAACCAAATTTCAAGACTGTTAGTCTAATAGTTTAAAAAAAGAAATAATTATTTATATCTGCCCTTAACCCCCCGCAACGCCTCTTCGGGGTCAATTTTCTCCAAACCCGTTTTGTAGCGGATATTTACTCCATGAAAGAAACATTCCTACCAATCTTCAAGCAGGTAGGTCAAATAGTTTAAAAACGAAAATATTTATCTCTTACGCCACTTATTCCCCTGCAACGCCACTTAGAGGTCTGTTTTCACAAAACCTTCTTATAGCTGATCTCTACTCTATGAAAGAAATCTCTTTATCAAATATAAAGACTGTGCGTCTAATAGTTTAAAAATGGAAATAATTATCTATAACGCCCCTTAAGTCCCCTCAACGCCACTTGGGGGCAGTTTTCACGAAACCCATTTTTAGCGTATCTCTACCCTATGAGAGGAATTTGCTTACTAAGTTTCAAGACTGTACGTCTAATAACTTAAAAATAGGAATTTATACCGCCCCTTAAACCCCCCGCCCCCGCAACACCCCTTGGGGGTCAATTTTCCCAAAACCCATTTTGTAGTGGATATTTACTCCAGGAAAGAAACTTACCTACCAATTTTCAAGCAGGTAGGTGAAGTAGTTTAAAAACGGATATATTTATCTATTACGCCCCTTAATCCCCGCAACGCCACTTAGAAGTCTGTTTTCACAAAACCCGTTTTGTAACTGATCATTATTCTACGAAAGGAATCTATATATCAAATTTAAAGACAGTGCGTCAAATAGTTTAAAAATGGAAATAATTATCTATAACGCCCCCTAAGCCCCTGCAACGCCACTTGGGGGTCGATTTTCAGCAAACTCATTTTGTAGAGGATCTCTACTCTCTGAAAGGAATCCGCTTACCCAATTTCAAGATTGTACATCAAGTAGTTTAAACATGGAAACAATTATTATTGAAGCCTATAACCCCCCGTAACGCCCCTTGCGTTTCGAATTTCGGAAAATCCTTTCTTAGCCGATGTCTACTCTATCAAAGGAACATGTCTACCAAATTACACGTCTGTAGGTTGAATAGTTGCAGATATTTCGTGATTAGTCAGTCAGTCAGTGAGTGAGTCGCTTTTCTCCTTTATATATATAGATTAGTTTGAGTAAAGATACGTTAAAGTCTTAAATTTGTGTTAAAAATCTTTTATAAATACAATAAATAAATAAATTGAGATGATGTAAAGTGATAGCTATAATATAAGTGCTTATTTTTATTTTCTTGGATAATTTTATATTTCTCTTAAATATACTACAAAATGTGTTTAAAATTTAATTTTGAAAAGAAATGTATATTATTGTTTATATAAGATGAATAAATTACATCTATAATCAAGAGAATTTTCATTACAATAATTTAGTTCCTATTGCAGCCAATTTTCAAAAGGCTTAGGAATTTACAATTAGTAATTTACCAGACTAATGGATTTGAATAAAATTACATATATGCGCTCATATCCTGTTCTGATAAAGAATTAATAAATACAGTGTCACACCTCTGTACACTTGTGACGGATCTATACGCGGTTCTACTAATCTCTTCATGACTCTTTAAGGAAAATATTTATTTCAACCAACTTTCATCGAGTAAGGAAACGTGATTATATAAATAAAGTATATTATATAATTCTGTTTTCGCGAGTTTGTGAGTTGGCACGTTGCAGTTGGCAAGTAGGAGTTAACATAAGGTCTGCGAGTTAGTTGTTAGTTGATGATTGGAAGAGAGTGGGATTAGTTAGAAGTCTTGGAGTTGTCCAGAAAAAAGATTACAAAGCGTGGATCCAACAACATTGATCAAGCCGAGAGAGATCACCTGCAAGTTTCCAGGGTAGGATCTGATGCATAAAAAGTACAGGTATTGTGAGCTTGATTAAGCTGAAGTTAGCTTATTAGTGTGCGATGTAGTTACACTGGTGTGCAAAAATTAAGGACGAAGTCGAAAAATTAGCATATCAGCTGAACGAAGAGGCAGAGTGGACAGAAAGACCAATCAGGAGATTAAGTGAGGTGATGTACGGTAGCACATGCGCAGATGGGCAGGTAGACGTAATGGGGGAGAGTCTGAGTAGTAAAGCATGTTGTCGGTGTAAGATTAGTATTTCTGGCAAAGAGATTGCACACCGTATAGCAGTTAAAATCACACCGAGTTGCTGCCTCAGCGAGAAATGGCGAACAATCAATCTGTTAGACGACATCTGGATGCTTTTACCCGAGGTCGAATCATTGGGAAGTTGGAGGCAGGTTGCAGTGTGACAAGTGTGGCTGCAGAGTTCGGAATTGCTCACAGCATCGTTTCACGACTTTGGAGACAATTTCAAACTACAGGAACAGCTATCCGGGGGTTCAGTAGTGGTCGTCCACGAGGAACCATACCCGCAGATGACCGGTATATTGCCTTACAGGCCAGA